GCGAAATTTCGCCGTTAACTGGCGTCCGAATTCATAACTTTCTCTTCTTATGAAGAATTCGTACGGCGAGAAAGTATGAATAATTTCTGAACCATTATGGAGATCTTGGTGTTCATAATGTATTTAAATTTCATGTCGGTAGATTCATTAGTTTACTTAAAGGGGTTTATACAGATGCACAGAAACTATACAACTGATTTGACGTGACATACGTTTTACAAATCGCAAAATAAAGTTGAAAAAATGTTTAAAAGTTAATAATTGCAAAAACATATAGAAACGTCCGGTTTATTTGTATGTAATGATTGCATTTGTAGGTAGTAATACTTCAAATGATTTTAAATAATGCTTCTCGAATCTCTAATAATTTTCTACAATAACTCTTTTATCAAAGTGAAACCTCGCGTGGGACTCGAATCGGGACACCTTGATTTCAGTGGTGAACACAAAGTGGCCACTTCACAAACTCGGCCATCCAGTATGAGAAGACCTCCGTATTTCCATATTACTCAAGACACAAGTGTTGCAGTCCAAGCATTACGGAGCTGAAAAAATGTGAAAAGGCAAGGGGGGTAAAAGTTGTAAATTCGAAAAACACATCCATTCTTCAAATTTATTTATCGTAATTTATTGTATATGTTAGTAGAAGTGTTTCAAATGATTTCCAATTCAGTTTCTGCAATTTTCAATAATATTGTTCGGCAATAAGAATACACAGTGACAAATAACTATCCCTGAGCGAGGTACCAACAAGTCGATTTTGCCTCCGAAGTACTGAAACAATTCACATCATTTTATCAACCTCTGCCACCGTCAAGGAGGTAGGCACTCCTATAATAGTCATAAGAGCGCCGTGTTTCAGTTGCAGTATTAGGCAGCGGAAGAAATTTTAAAAATTGTAAAATGTTCTTCGGGCAGAAAAAGATTGCAGCTTGGCTGGCATAACTCGACGAGGTAAATAATTTTTGTTCTTTAATAGCAACAGAGAATTGTGACAAATAATTATCCCTGAGCCAGCAGCCCTGCTGCCAGAGATGGATTTACACATAGGCACAGTAGCCACGGCGGCAAATTTTCAAGGGCGACAAATTTTCAAATGCGCAAAATTTCCTTGATATTTTCTAAAACAAATTTAGGTTCTCTAAAAAAACAGCATAAATCATAATTTAAAAAAAATTTTTAACGAGATTAAAGCCGTCCCCTCAAGCTTTGATTTACAAATTAAGTTTGAATTTCAAGTGGGGACATTTTCAATGTTACAGAATACATGAAAAGAATTCGATAACGACCTCTGAATGGTTGATTGAGCAGAAAAAAATTACATTCTTAGAGTAAGGAGTGTGAATTAGCCAATCAGAAATCGCTGACGGATTTCGCCATGCATTCATATTGCGCTATATAGAAAGTAGCGACATCTGTTACTTCTTGAGGTAGTTCTAGAGGACGGATCTGGAAATAACCCTTTTCTTTCTTTTGTTACTATTATTGTGTATCGTTAAAATAAAATGCTGTGAAAATTCATTTCTGTAAAATATCCTTACTAAGGCATTCAAGAAGGTAAGTAAACGTTAACTGACAGTGAACAGCCAGCGAAAGATTAGTTTGTCGCGATGACTACCCATGTGACGTCACAACGTCAGTCGACAGGCCGTATATTAGTATTTAGGTGGCATTGATCAATGCCATATGAAGCTATACATTTTGTTATTACATTTTTTTCTTCACGACGACACATTTTAAATTTCAATTCATATCTAACATTACATTTTACAACACACTTTCAAAAAAAAAAAACTCAAAATAAGAGTTTTGCCGGCTGGTTGAGCTTAAATATAAATATAGACTTCATTTACTAATTAAACAGCCTCCCAATAACACATTTAGTTGTTACTATGACAACAAAATTATTTACTTCATAAATTGATGACGCATAAGCTTCTAAAGAATTTGTTGAAGTGCATTTGCGTGTATTTTTCGCATTTCAAGTTTTTTAATAGTTTTGTGTGTCTACCGAGATGGAAGGTATGAATTCAGGATTTATTTATGATTTGCACCGGGAGAGAAGTTTGAATGTTATCCAGTGGTGTCAGAAAGTGGGTTTGCTTGCGTCTCGACGTGTAGGTGAGACAGAAATTACGAGAAAAAACGGTTTGTTATTGATATTCTGAAAACCGAGAATTCTCAGTAAACTGTTATTTTATTTCGGTTTTTACAAAGGGACCTTTGAGTTCAAACAGAGGAAGATTGCACTTTGAAAAATATTGGCATTTCGTTCGAGAAGAGAAAACACGTACATGTAAAATGCGTAATATATGTAAGAATGATATTGAAATTACTGAGAGAAAGAATAGAACAGAGGGTTATGAGTGGATTTGTAGGTCAGAGGCGAGAATGGCCATAGCGTGAAAATATGTTTGAAAGGATTCTTCGTTTGAGAGAAGTCTTATTAATTTACCTTACTTAATTTCATAAAAAGTAAAGAATGAGTATTTTTTCATATATAAGCAGATTTGGTGATACGTTGATGAATCATTGAAGTTTTTCATGCTATAAGGATGTTCTACGTAATTAAGGCAGTCAAGTTACACTAATTTTACTACCTTAGTATTTTTAATACTACTCAAATTCTACAATTTCAGCGATTATGTGAGTTTTTTTCTTCTAATAAATACTGCTATTTTGAACATATGGTATTTGTTTGAAAAAATAGATGGGTTGGTTTTATATTATTAAAATAGGGATTTTGGGGGACGATAGCCTCGCAGTAACAAAAGAAAGTGTTAGTGAAATATACTGCGGATTCTAGATCGTATAAAAATGTATTAAGTAAAATAAGTTGCTTTTCTTAGTAATAAAATATTGAGCTTTGAATAGTAATGAAAGTTTCAGTAGCATGTGATTGTGAAATAGAAATTATATTTATGGCGATAACATAATGAACATTACAACATGCGAATAGTAAACAAGGATTCAGTTCAGTGAGTCGATTCCCCTCTAGTGAACCAAAGGAACCGTGCCACCCTAAACTCCGGATCAACCGCATATTAATTTGACAACGTTCCTAAGGATCGAATATATAATGTAATACAAATATTGCACTCTCATATTTATGTGTTAATGATAAGTCAAATGTAAGTTCCGTTATTTTTCTTGTTATTCTTTTTAGAAGATTTACGCCACGCCCTCCTGTCATATAGAATGTTTTGTTGCAACTAAAGCAATGGACAAGGTGTCAGGTTTTGAATAACACTAACACATCCAATTGATTATAGTATATAGTAAAATGACGTGCAGTGTCAAAGAGTGCAAACTTTGGGTGACCAGAAATGTAAACAAATGATACAATAATATGCAAATAATTTAGCGCTGTTGAATTGTTTAATAAAGATGCAAATTTATGTCCGTTTGTGTCATTTTATTTTCGATTTATAGACGATGTAGATCATCGATGACTCAACTAGAAATTATCAGTTGCGTTTCACGTAACGGACAACGTGTGGGAGGTCACATGAGTTAACTATGAAAGTAATGAATATGTATGTATAACAGTGATGATAATACTTATGTAATGAATCAATTAACACAGTGTATAAATTTGCAACTTTCAGTAGCCTGAAGATGGATGTAGTATATATCTCCGAAACGTAACGACGCGGAGTTGGATAAAGTAATTAAATGGTGATTGTCAATAAAAATGGACCTTAATGTGTTTGTTAAAGTATTAAAGACGGAAATCACGGTAATAAACAAACGAAACGAATAATCAATAATTTAGTGATAATAGTGTCAATTTCAACCCTCATTGAAATTGAACAGGCGGTTGTCTTTTTATTTAGTTTTAAATATAGGGGGTGTCTTTCATTGGGATGGCTGATATTCTACGTTTGAAATAACAGGCTACAACGAATTACTTTTATATTGTGATAATTTTAATGAACAAATACTCAAACTTATGAAAAAGTGTACATGTCTATTGATTTTTCTGTATCAAGGAGCAATAAAACATGGATTCTGGCTAACCCACGTTTTAGAGGATTATTTTTCTAAATTTAGCAACTGGATTTATCAACTTTTTCGTTACCAGGCCCTGTAATAAAAGTTTTTCTGCGAAAATTCACCGTTTTTTTGCGCGGAATTATATAAATTTTTCTCTACTGCGGTTGCTGTAGCGAGAAAAGTAAAGGTTTTCATTTTTATCTTGTGAAGTTCTTGGTAATCAGTAAATTTTAATCAATCAAACGCTCTAGGAGCTTTAGAGTAGCGTGCACAAGAATACAAGATTTTTCCTGCACACGATCCACTGACTTCTTTTGCACCGCATCCAGATGTTCGTGAACTTGTCCCGGTCTTATTTCCGCGGCAGGCCTGGCGTATGTCGCTCCTCTGAAGAGTACTGCTTTCTCGGAGAAGATTTGCCCTTCTTTTTGTTACGTAGGCCGATCCTAGTTCTTTTGAGAATTTGAAGATATAATCTCGGCAGGATACTTTCTTTCACGTTACTTCCTGTATATGTATTGATGGCCGCCAAATACAAAACATTGAACGTACCTCGTCCATTTTCTACCGAATTTCACAGTATACAACGCGCCACTTGATCAAGTATGTCAACAAAATATTTCGTTTCACTATGAAATTGTACAGCTACTGGACGTTTCATGGAGTTTGATGAGAGGTCCCAAGAATCACGTTTTTATTTACTTTTCACTGAGAGAATGTCGAAGATGTTAAGACAGAAAACATAAAACCCGTCAAAATGACGGGTTACGTCATTTTAGTAGAATTTGCAAATATCGTAAATAAGTTTCAGTGTACATTTCTTTTTGTCTCTAAATTTGTAGAATATGATTGAGCACTACGAATATTGAAATCCACAAAGGGATGAAGTTAGAAATCACATATTTTGTTGAGAATTTTAAATACAAAATAGGCCACCTGTCAAAATAACATGTGCCATCCTGCGAGTGTGTGTAAGAGCTATAATGTAAGCCAAGAGAACTCACTTTAGCTGGCAACAGCTCCCCGATGGTGATGAGGGGCAACACGAAGAAGCCACAAGTGTTAGCAGCCATGTAGACGAGGAGGCAGCCGACGACGATGGCAGCGTAAGGGTCGGAGCCTTGGCCCTAAACAGTTGGTACATCGATAGTCTTCTTTTTTATTTCTCGGAATACTGCCAATAACTCTATTTGGTAACTTGTAACACACTTAACACATAACTGCCAAGTACTGCTTGCCAAGCTCATTTTTCCTGTGAATCTAACATACATATACCGGAAGGGTATTGACACGTAGACCTGAGGAGGGTTCATCCTATCATGTTATAGCAATCTTATATCAACACCTTTGAAAGGCAGAAATACCGAGCAAGAAGAAATAAAATAAAAAAACCTAAAACGGTTCCATTTTGATAACGCTCTATTGTGGATTCAGTTTCAATTCCATTTGCAGAAAGTGTATGTGTTTTCTATGAACAAAACTAAAAGGTTTATTTTCATTTTGTACATTTTAAAATCACAAGTGCCCTGGTTCCATTAAATATTCTTCTAACTGAAAAGTAATTATGAGCGTTTTAATATATTTTGAATTAACATGCTAATTACTGTAAGAATTGTTCAGATGAGGTGTAGCTTGTCTGTATGAAACGTTACAACAATTTTTTTCTTAAAAAATAAAAATAAAAACAAGTGCATCGTATACTTCCTTTCACCAGCTCATACAACCACCTCCATAACTAATTAAATATGTCAAACAAAATACTCCACAATACAGGCTGTATCAGCATTTATTATATATTTCACGTAAGAATAAAATAATGATTGCAATGTATCAAAATATGGATGCCGCTATATTGACGGGAAACATTTTGAGGGTCCCAGGTACCCAAAAGTGGATTTTTTTGGGGCTGAGTCTACTCAGACGTCACGCGTCTTCGAACTCCTTAAGGAGCGTCGAGCACACCGTGAAGTCATCCTCCGTTATTAAACACCCAGCACCCTCTAGGAGCCGATGGGCAGTCAAGGGAATCGCCGACAGGTAGCGTCTTAGTGCTCGCGAGTGCCCTGCGTCATCTGCCTAACGGCCAGAATAGGGAAGGGATGATTATAAGTATGGTTTTAGGACGCTTCAAGGGAGTTGGACTAACCCCTGTGAAGCATGTAACCTCGGTTTGTCGTAACAAATTTCACATGAGGTTCTACGGGTATCGAACCGCGAACCTCATAACTGAAAGACAAGCGACTTCGCCATTGAGCACTATTTAATCTTTTATTTTCTATAGATTCTTTTTATAAATCTCTCTCAGTATATTCATCCATCCATCCGTCTGTGAACTAATCTAACGTCTAAACAGAACATACGATTTCACCAAAATCAAAATTCTCCAAACCAACTAGCTAAAATCGTGACGTGGAGTTGGAAGTATTCTACAAGAACCCTCTAGGATATTTGCAAATTGCATATGAATGCAAGTTTAATCCTTTAATCTTTTTGTTCCAACTGAGAAAAGTGCACTTATAAAAATGGTATTGAAATTGGTGGTATGGTATATATGGTAATGACGAATATGGTAATGAAATTTTCATTAAAGTCACTGAGCTTTTGAAAATTGCAGTTTAAAACTTTCAGGTCTTCGTTACAATACGATACGTCATTGAAGATCTATTTTCTTTACGATTATTTTTCTTCAAAATCAAACTTCAATTTTTTTACAATATGTGAATATGTGCATAATTTTGTATGACATCCTGAAAATTGTCAAAATTTCAAAAATATTTTTGAAAATTAAATTGAAATTTGAGAATAACTTAACACTTTTCATTACAAAAAGTATTTTCAAAATATAATTGTACATGAAATGATATAATTTTAGGTAATTATGAGGTTTGCATTTCCAAAGATATCTTTAGCTTGGACATTAAGGATTAAGAGTTCGAAAAATTTAGTCACAATATATGTCAAAATTACGCGAAAATCACTAATATTTTGAATTAATGCTAATATTAGGATATAGTTTGTATTAAGAAATAAATTTCGAACTTAAATAAAGTACGTTTTAGAAGAGGCGGTCAAACTATTTTTTAACTTTTACAATTTTTGAAATTTTGGAGAAAATCAGATTCATGATAAATTATTAAGTAAACTTTCATCTATTCGAGCACTACATTTAAAGAAAAATGGAAGCATTATTGAGAAATAAATGTATAAGTAATTTTTCTTTAAATTTACAAATTCACAAAGGTCACGAACTTGCTAAAATAACTATACATTTGTAAAGTAGTAGTGCTAAACCTCTACGTTCTCGCATTATTTATTAATTTGACATAGTCGAAAATTCTGAGATTTCAATGAAAGTGGCATTTATTTACTCACCCCTTCTATTCGTGGCAAAAATTTGGAGTCTTTTCTGAGAATTTATTTTATAAATTTCATTAATTCTAACCAAATTACGCGAAAACTACTCTTGATTTTGAAAGAAGTGGAGCTAAATGGCACGCGCTTTCTCACCTTTCGTAGTGGCTTCTTCAAAAGCCCCAGATACTCATTTGTACATCAGATTCATCTCCCTTACGCTGCCACGATCACAATCTGTTACCAAAAAACCAAATTTTCTTGCATTTAGAACTATTTAATTGCTAATTAATAATGCAAAAATAATTTAACTGCTCTTCAAATTTCCTAGTAATTAATGGTGAAGTAGCTAAAGATTAAGTTGGCACTACCACAATGGGTTATCTCAAAATTAAATATGCCAACTTTTAGAGCAACTTAATTGTTAATTAGTTACGCAAAAATTAATTTAATTGCTATTCGAACTTCCGCGTAATTGATTGTGAACTACCGGACGCGCTCATCGGCCGGCCGACTGGCGTCAACTATAATTGTGATTAGTCTAGAAAGTGTAGTGCTTGTTAAGGAATGTGGCGATGTTTTCCTTCACTAGTTGGTGACACTGGCATACACATCAACTTGGGTTGTTTTTCCGGACCAGGTATCTCCAGCGGGCATCGTCATAGTGTAATGTGTAAGGGCGAAGATAGGAGTAGGAAGAGGTCGATTTGTTCGAGTACTGCTTCGGAAATCACGTGGTGTTGTTCGAAGAAAAGTACGGATCAAACCAACCGCCGTTGGAATTCAAAGGGCCATCGAGTAGGGAAGATCGCGTGGCGACTGCGCTCACCTGTGCGTCGTTGTCCCGCACGTAGAGCGCCGAGCCCATTGCAACGGCCGCCAGCCCCGAGGCCAGCCCCGAGCTCAGCGCCAGCGCCCGCCGGCCCGTCCAGCTGAGCAGGCCGCACGCCACCGCCGTGAAGACCACGCGAACCGCCGCCGTCAGCACAGCGGCCAGGGCCTCGTCCATGCCCGCGTTCGCCTGCGCACCCACGCGTGGAACAACTTTCTTCTTCAACACGATCATAGGCACATATGCATACGGGCGACATTTCCTGCAATTAAGCAACCTCCTGATGCACAGATACTCGGCAGAAACATGAAAGCTTTTAACTCTCTCGTCAGAAACTGACTTTCCGCACATCTGAACATAAGGAGTTGCTTCAAAATCAGGGACGAATGGGTTACGAAATGAAAATACAAATTTGTTAGAGTTATATGAACTCGGGGGCTGGATCAAGTATGCTAGACATCAGGTTATTGCGTTCAACAGAAGTTTGGCGAAATCTTGGGAAAGACACACTACAGCAAAAAATCAGTGATTCTACATTAAGGAACTAGATATTCGAGAGAAGCAGAGAAGGTAATATATGCCGATTGGTTCTGGTTACATGAATTAAAAAGAAATGTGCTTTGTGTTTGAACTCAAAACGTTTTTATTTAAATTACCACAAAAGAGAGGCAAACGGACACAACTGTAAGTGCAAGCAACACTACCTAGAACCTGTACATATAGGTGATAGTATATTCAAGCGATTAATTATTTATTAATTTGTTTAATTAAATAAGATGGTAATTATTTACTAGTTAATTTATTCCAGAAGTAATACCCAGGTGATTAATTTGGAATACTCATTAATTTAA